GCAAATGGCCATGAAGGCGTAGTAAGGATGCTACTAAGCCACACCGATGTCAACCCCAACTCTGCTGATCAGTTTGACCAAACGCCACTCCACGAAGCTTCTGGAAATGGCCATTAAGGAGTCGTAAGGATTCTCTCAAGCCGCACAAATAGCAACCCCAACTCTGCCGATCAGCTGGACCAAAAACCCCTTCACCAAGCTTCTGCAAGTGGCCATGAAGGAGCAGTACGGGTACTATTAAGCCACGCCGTCGTCAACCCCAACTCTGCCAGTTGAGATGGCCGAACACCACTCCACCAAGCTATTGCAAATGGCCACGAAGCGGTAGTAAGGATCCTGTTAAGCCACGCTGATATTAACCCCAACTCCGCCGATCGGTGTGGCCGGGCTCCTCTTTGTATTGTGAATCTCTATAGACATCAAAGAGTTTGCCTACTGCTAACCCGCCAACATTTCCCCTAACCACGTCCACTATCGTCGCATGCCCGCCCCCGACGTCCCTCCTAAACTTCGTCCCCGCGATCGCGACCTCCCCGTCACAGATGCGCCTACTCCCATGTCAGCTCTGGTTTGGTGTCTCCTTTTAGTTGAATCACATAGAAGTCATTCCTTTTCTTCCTTTCTTCCTTTCCTATTTTTTACAAAACTTTCGGCAAGCGCTCCACACTAATCTTGGCGGCATTTCTTCCCGGCATTACTTGTTTCTTGTTCAGTTATTGCTTTATTTTCGTTTTTCGATCCCCTGCGAGGCCGTTCCGAACGTTGATAAGTTTTCCGGCGGCATAACATTCCTCCCGGGGTCCCACGCGTAGGGGGGTAAGGGTTAATGATTCTTTTTGGGGTGCTTGGGGGTTTCGTGATACAAACAATGTCTATCATCTGGGAACTTCTAGATGGAGGTTAATGCACAATTAGACTATACTACAAGAAGGATTTTACTTTTTTTGCTTTTTGTTTCTACACGCTGGGAGAGCGATAGAAACGCGGAGACATGGCGGAGAGTATATACAATAGAATCGCAGATCCAGAGTTCCATGAGATTCCCCTGCTGCGAGCCTTTGAACGGACCTCTCTTCTGAAACGTCGGACCCTCCTGTAGACGCTTGATTAACTGGGGTGGGTAGGTTGAGTTGTGATTCTTGCATTCTCACTCGCTCACATGTTCCTGGTAGGGGCCTAGGTTGTTGAGTTAGATCCTGGTCTGCCCCTGTATTTTCCGCGGACTTCCTCTCATGACTATTGGGTGGCGCAAACGAAGAACTGTTGTCGGGAGATGATGAATGGTTGCTTTCGTTTTAGTTTAATTTCTTAACCATTCATCAGTCCTAGGCCTCTGCAGAAATAGCATGCGGTTCCCGGTAGACCCAGATGTTACACGTTTCCATCACAACACAACACTTGCACCGTACTATTTTGAAACGTGATGAATTCGGGTTAGGGGTAGAGTAGGAGGTCTCGAACACCCGTACACAAAAGCGCCGACAAACATGAAGTCTTTCATAATGTCGCCGTTTCATCTGGCGGATGCTGCCGTTTCTGCCCTGGATATTGCAGTGTTGCGGCCAACCCTGCATCCAAAACTCGTGTCGGTGATCTCGGGATCAAGCGTTGTTACTACCGCTTCTAGTATCGCGTCCGGGGTACTATTCAGGCGCTATAACGAAAGCGAGAAGGAGATGAATGCTGATAGGCGAGGAGTAGCAAGAGGGACTCAGGAGTGTGGCTGGAGGAATGGAGGAGGGGCGTGCAGGGGCGGTGTGAATTCGAGTCTGTTGTGGGTTCCCGAAATACCACTTGATTTTTTTGTAAATAATTGGGTTAATTTTTGGGTTAATTTTTCTATCACATTCCATTGAGTCTGCTCTTTGCTGCGGTCCTCGAGGAGACTCTCTGGGCCTAGCTTGAGGGCTGAGCACGAGTTCCGGATCAGGATTACTCTATCACAAGTAATGAACATTGGGCTACTCGTGGCACTCCCGGTACCTATACAATTACCAGTTCCAAGGATTATTACCACGGAGGTTACCAGGCATGGTCCCGGAGGGCTTTAAGGTTTGGCGTGATAAAAATTACTCCGCGAATAGGCAGACCGACATCTCGCTAGGTCCACGATCAGATGGTTTCTTGCTTTCTTCATTGTCCTCCACATCCACTCACCAACATTCAACCTCTAGTCGCAGGGTGGTTAAGATTTCCACCTTGCCAGCGCGAGAAAAGGTTTCTGTAATATAGGATATTCATTCCTAGATCATCCGCGGCGATTCATGACTGTTACATGAATCTTGTAATCACACGGTAACGCATCATTTAACAATCGGGCACGGCCCCAGACCACGAGTTGCAGAGAATCCTTCATAAACACGTGGGGAGCTGCAAGGGTCCACGATACTCAGGTCCTACTTGCCGTCCGTGAGGGGAGACATAGCCCTTCCGCGCTAGAATTTAATAACTCTTACCCTCCTTAGAGTGGCTGGTTTTTTATTTTCCCACTCCCTCCCTCCTTTTATAGGTGCCTGTACCGCAAGGTAATCGCGCGATCCCAGAGTTTGTGAACTCGCGCGAACTGAGTATGATACGGTACCATACTGGTAGGTGCCTAGGGCCCTCTTGCTCCCAATATGGTATGGTATGGGAACCGCTGAACAAGTAATGATGTGGATAGGGCAAATCGTCAACCGGGCCGGTAGGAGGTATGATAGAAGATTGGAGTCTTATCATAGTTCGTGAGAAGGGTGTGGGGAAAATTGGCGCGGATACAGTTAGGGGGAGTCTTGAAGGAATGGGTACTGTACTCTGTAGGAAGGGGAAATAATAATTCAAGGCATGGAGGGAAAAAGGGTTCGGATTCTGGAAATGGAAAATCCCCACGGGAATCAATCTGCCCCGCCGGAAGATCCCCTATGCGGGGGGGAGCGGTGTCGATGATTCCGTTAGCAGGGGTGTTGTCGCGTAGGATCGTTGTCTCAAGTGATGGAGGTTCTGGGCACTACAGATCAACACCTCAGCCAATAACCAATGTGACCAACCTCAAACCCCTAACAACCACACAACCCGAAAGCTTGGAAGTTTCCGAGAAAAGGGCTACCGGTATTTCATGTATTGTGCCGCAGTGCTAGAGCGGCCCAGACGCCAAAGTTTAGGGGATTTTCAAATCAGAGCTGGAAAATTACCACAAAAGCTAACTAGATTAGGTGCTTTCTTGGCGACGCTACACCCAATGTGATAATAGGTCTCGTTCATAATTGCTTGGTGTGAGCCAATCTAACTGAATTATCACACCCTAACCTCTGGGAGGGATCACCGGCTTAAATAAGTTATGGATCAACCCAACTGTTGATTTCTAGTGTCTTGGACCGCGTACTGCACTAGAACAGGGTGCAGCTTGGCGGAGATTATCCTCGCGATGAGGGGGTATTGCTGTTCCCTGTGTAGAATAAACTATTGCCTGGGGTGTTAATTCATGAAGGAAAAGGCGTTCCTTGGTTGGAAGGGTTTCAGGGTTTTTTGTTGTGTTGAAATCACATAACTTGATTGTTTGATAGGAGTACTGTACAAGTACAGTACTGCGCGCCCCATTGCGACCAATTACCTGCGCGGGGAGAGATAAGGTTATCACTCTCGTCTCGATGAATCGATTCAATTGATGAGTGGAGTTGGATACATTAATAAATCCAAGTAGCTTAACACTGTTCCACTAAAACTCGCCTAGGGTATTTTTTATGGTGTTCATTCGGACAAGCATGGTTGGGTTTATGTCATACCCTACCTCATCACGATACGTGCAGGCCGCATTCTTCAGTGGAGGCGATAATTGGGCCGACAAGGCGAACGGAATATTGTCGAATTGTTAGAGTTGCACGATAGGGTAGTTGGCGGACCGATTTTTTACTTTTAGACTTTTATCTTTTTATGCACTCGTACTCTCCAACACGCTATACGTTGAAGCAGTAGTGAAGGTTAACAACAGTCCCGCGAATATTGTTATTTTTTCTATTTTTTCCCTTTCTTTGGCGGATATTCCTCCGACACACTTCTTGTGACGGAAGAAGCTGGTTCCCCATCCTATTACGCAAGCTCTTATCTGCCAGGAATACCGGTATAGCAGACTCCCTCCTTGCACTCGAGTTCAGTACGGTATTGTGGAGCAAAGTGCCATGCTGCTGGTATCAGGGGGTGTGTTTGCAATTCCTTAAATTATTCGGATGTGGTCTGATCCAATTATGCATTTAACGTGAATGTGGTCTTGTACCTGTACCAGAAGGGACGCATCGGGGTCGGGAGACCAAACACACAAAACAGGTAAGCTTCACTCACTCACGAATCATATAGGCAATCCATCCTTCACACGCGAAAAATAATTCCGAAAAGAGGTCCGCACAAATTAAATCGATGCCAAGAAAAAAAGGAACAGGCACAAAGGTAAAATTCCCAAACGTGGGTACAAACTTCGTTTTCGTAGGTTGTCTTTTGTCTCTTATTCCGTCGTAGGTTCGCTTCTTCGTCCGCTCTCTTCGTTCTGGTTGAAAAGGGAAAAATCCCTTTTATCCCTCTCCGGTCCACAGCACATCACTATAGCCAGTCACAACCAAACCCTAACAAATCAAACAAAGCCTAACCAACTTCAGAGCATAACACCCCACAAACACCTTTTCGCCCCTCTCCAGTACTAGTACCGTACCCTAAGGGTAGGTTCTCGGACGTATAGCAAGGTTTAGCCAGGACGGTTTGGGAAACGCATCTATTCTTAGGATGCATCTTTGCAGAGAGCACAACTCCGCCTTTTTTGGAATTTGACTATATAACACGTATCCTCGCTGCTACCACTGCGGCACTGTTCAGCGATAAAATTCTTGAGAAGGGAAAATTCAGCTCGGAGACCACCAGCATCCGTTCAGAAACCATGAACAGGTTCTGCAGCCAAGGCCTGTTCAGCGATGAAACCAGCAGTTTGAATGCCACGAACTCGAATAACACTACCTACAATCACACAACTGTTAGCGACGAAAAACTGAGGATACTATCATGGATGTCACCGTTCGAGTCATGGAAGAAACACAGTGATGTGGCTCGCACTCGCGTCGAAGGCATAGGAGAATGGGTGCTGCAAAGTGGCGAGTTTCAAGCCTGGCGGCGGGGTGGAAACGGTGGGACGGCCGGCAGGATTCTGTATTGCCGGGGGGCTCCCGGGGTAGGAAAGACTTTTATTTGGTAGGATTTGTGACCCCATATACACCCAAATCACTACTCACCCGACACAAGTTCCTTAGTTATAGATCGTCTATGCAATGAGTCTGAGAGGCTCAATCTCACGCTTGCTTGCCTATATTGCGATTACCGTCGACAAAAAGAGCAAACTGTCGAAATGATGATTAGGAGCCTCCTGGGGCAATTTGTGACTGGGTTCTTCGAGATTCCGGGAGCGATCATGGAGGCCTTCCAAGAAGCTAAGACTCATCATGGAGGACGGACACCGGGGCTTGGGGAGATTATTGAACTATTTCCGGCAGTTTTAGAAAACTTCGCGCAAGTATTCATTTGTGTCGACGCACTCGACGAGTTTGCGGCAGAGTACAGAGGCCTGTTTCTACACTCCTTGTGCCGGATACTGGACGGATCGCCAAATGTTAGACTCTTCCTCACTGCGAGGCCCCATATTCAATCAGATTTTAGAAGCCATGTCCCACGGCCTATGAGCGCAGTCAATATAAAACCTCCCCGAGGTGATATCGGAAAGTATTTAGTGACAAAGCTGGATACCGATCCACGCCCCGGAGCGATGGATTATGGACTCAGAGAAGAGATACTTGCAAAGTTTTCAATGGAGTCTTGTGAAAAGTAAGGATGGCCCAATGTCATTGAGAACATATGGCTGACAATAGGCCCAAGCTTCCTTCTAGCAGCATTGCAGATCGATGCAATACTAGGCGAGATCACGATAGGGGGAAGAAGGAAGAAGCTCCGTGAGGTCGCATGGGGCTTGATAAATGCCTACACCACGACTCTGGAGAGAATAAAAGGGCAAAGTGGAGCCCTCGCGAAAACTGGAATTTCGGCGCTGATGTGGATTTCATTGGCAGAACGACCTTTGCTCACCGATGAGCTATGCCATGCTCTAGCGATGGAGGTTGGATCTCCGAATATCGATACTGAAATGATACCTCCGATAGAGACTGTTGTGGCATCCTGTATGGGACTAGTCACCACTAACCTTTCATCATCAACGGTCAGCCTAGTTCACGTTACATTAGCAGAATATCTGCACAGCCACCAGGAGAATGACATTCAGAATGGCCATGCAACTATCGCAGAGGTTTGCTTGAGCTATCTGAGCATTCAATCAGTTCGGGAGCTCCCATCAGGTCTTAAAGCCGCCCCGCCTGCATTCCCGCTTCTTGGATATGCGTCCTGTTACTGGGGAGCCCATGCACGGAAAAGGTTAACACCACGTGCAAGGCATCTTGCACTGGGGATTTTAGACCAATATACTCAACATGCACCTGCCGGTATCTTTTTGTCCAGCGGAGGAGCCCTATCGTACTGGGGGAACTGTCCCGCGGGGTTTAGTGGATTGCATTATGTTTCATACTTTGGAATCGATGAGCTTGTAGAGGCAGTGCTGAGCACAGGACAGGCAAGTTTAAACCAGGTTGATGGGTGGGGCCGCACACCTCTGATTTTGGCT